CGGGATGCCTGTCTGTGTATGTGAGATGTTTTTGGAAAGTTTTTCCTTCAGTGTTAAGCACAGCCAGGATGAATCGGCAGTCTTTCTTCCATGAAAAATGTTGAGTAAAAATCTGGAATTACTCTGTGATTTTTTTTTTATTTTTTTTTCTGAAACAGCATAGTTTAATCCAGCCCGTTCAGATGCATCCCATTTGCCGCATTTTTCTCTTGCTTCAGGATTTATGCTGGTTTTGCAAATTATCTGGAGATAAAGATGACTCAGTTATAGTGTGTGAAAAATCTGTTTGTTTAGGCATCCCTATCCTACTTATGGTGGTTTATCTAGATGATAACACTCTTATAATGCTGGAAGGGAAGTGTGTATGGAAGGAAGATAGGACTGAATAAAAAGGTAAAAATCTGGTATCTTTCAAGAATTGCCAGGTTCTCCCTTCTGCTTTATCACCATTCTCTTGAGCTGTTTCTGAAGCACACACTGCTTGGTGTGCGCTGCTAGCATGAAGTTTTCTCAGGGATGGATTTAAATTTTTGGCGTTAATGCCTCAAGGCTCCAGTAATATGTCCTTATACTGTTGAAAATATGGGTAAGAAAAAACCCTTTGAAAAGGGGAGTGCAATACGTGAAGTACTGTTTCAGGGGCATGTTGGTATATGTTAGTTCCTTAGTTTTGAGTGTTCTGTATGTTGTTCAGGTGTACATGCTCATGATTTTTTTGATTAGGTGACTATATATATTTCATTTTTTCCTCTTTGTAACTTACCAAATGAAAGTAAAGAAGAAATCTTGCACTGGATTAGGTGACACGAAAAAATGTTACTTTCTGTTTTGGTAGGTGGTTTATGAAATACCAGCACGTGGATCCTGAAGAAGCAGTAAGAATCCATATTGATGTTCAAGCAAAGAAGTCTGTAGCAATTCACTGGGGGACCTTTGCTTTAGCAAATGAGGTAAATTGCAACACTGTTACATGAGTTCAGATTTTCAAGTACTACACCGGTCATTAGTGCAGCTTTGCTTGTGCAGTTGAACCTACATATCTGTAAATGTAAACTTAAAATGTGGCCTTTGTATGAGTGACAAGTTGTTACTCCATGTACTGCTGTTCAAAATAATGCTTAGCTTTTCTTAACTAATTACATAAAATATTTCCACAGTTAAGAAAGTACAGAGTTGTTGAAACAAATGTGGAGGATTTCTGATATCCAAAAGCTGAGGAACATAATAGGTGGTGACACATATGCAGTAATAAAAGCAAACTCAGCAGTGCATCACTTGGAGATAGTAAGAACTGCATGCCTGTAGGTCGGTACACTATTTATTAATCATACCTGTCTAGTAAATAAATTGAATAGTATTTTTAGTAGTTCATTCAGAGTTAAATATCAGCAAGGATATGAAAAAAATGAGTTACTCTGAGTTGCTGATTTTTTTTTATTTTTTTTTTTTATTCCCTCCTCCTCCCCCTTAAGTCCCAGTTCTAATAAGGTTACCTAGGTACTTTCGCAGCAACTAAAAATGCAGCGAATGGGAAGTATCTACATCTGCTTTGATACTGTCTGGTAGCTGGTTTTCAGCATTGTCCTTTGTATCAGTTGCACCACTTTATCTTCTAATTCATTCCTGATACTGTGATCACCTGATATGTTGTATGTTCTGTCCCTTCCAGTTCCTTGTGCACCTCCTCCCTGGCAGAGCAAAGAGTTCCCAGGCAGGGAACAGAGCCAGGATGCTTGGACAGAACCTTTCCTGTCCACAGTGTTTTCAATAAACTGTGTCACTAGTGCCCACGGTACAAATGTTACTGTGTATTTAGAAGCGCAAAAAGTAGGTGATTTGTCCCTGGTGGTGCCTTTTCTGAAATGTGGCAAATACAGCGCGGTAACTTGAGTTCAGACAGGACCGCTGACAGCTTGGGTTTACTGAGCGAAAGAAAGCGCCAGCTGCTGGCCGGACAGCGCTTCCCCCGAAGGGATCTGTTAATGCAGTGAAGGCGACCGAATTGTGGAGGACAGGCTGTGCCTTGTTACTTGCTCTGCAGCTGTAAATCAGCATTCTTAGCATTTAAAAACTTAAAATGAACCCAAACGTTTTAACAAATATCCTCCTCCTCCCCCCATTTTTTAGAGCAGTGATTCCCACCACCACCCCCCCACCCCCAAAATGTTGCAGTGGGATCTTTTCCCTGATATTAATCTCATTTTTTCCAGTATTACTTGGATCCTCCGGTTAAACTGAATGAAGCTCTTGAAAGATACGGCTTGAAAAAAGATGACTTCTTCCTCTTAAACCACGGAGAATCACGGGACCTGGGCACAAATGAGACGTTTGAAAACTGAAACCATAGCAGTTCCTTGTAAGCCCAGTTTGATCTGAACTAGCAATTAACAGTACAAATACTAATATTATGTATTTACACAGTGCATTTTTTAGATTGAATTGGATTTTTAGGTGCCAAGTTTTAGAACTAAAACTTGCATACCAATTTCGTGACGAATTTTACTAGTTATATTGTTTATAAATTTTGAGAGGTCATCTAAAAGTGGTTAATATAAAAGGTGTTGTCTGGGATTAACTTGCAGTTTCAACTCTGATGTACACCACTGATAAAAAGTTTTATTTTTACACTCTTCATCTTACCTGCAGCAGCAATAATAATCTCAGCACAGGACATATTCTTAGGATTAATGGCTGACTTGAATTAATCATTGTTAGACTGTCATCTTGTTAGTCTTCAGGTTCTGCCCTGTACCTTGAAAGCTTCACTGTAGGTTTTGTGGGGTGGAGTCTTCCATTACAGCTGTGTTGTAAAGCACAAGCACAGTACAATTGTTTTACTGAGTGCTTCTTCATTTTCATTTATTGATGAACCACAAAACCTGAATTTTACAGTGATCAAAGAAATGTGCCTTTTAAAGAGAGAGATAATTTAATATTGCACCATGGATGTGTAAAACTAACTGCTGGCCAGAGTTCTCTGCACACTTTCATTGTTTTGTCGATGTTTTAAGTTAGGTCTGAATGTGTCAAATGCAGCACACGAAATGGAACAACCCCTTAACGGCGCTTGTCTTTGTGTTGACTCAGCCTTTTTCTAAGTTGGTTTTGTTTTTTATTTTTAAGTGTTGAGTCTGAAGCAAGGGCTGTGGTATTTTTTCTTAGAGCTTCCCTATAATTTTAAAGTTGAATGAGAGATTACAACATTGTTCAGTATTATAAAACTTGGCTAAATGTATCTGTATCAAATTGCCACGCTAATTTACAAAAATTAAAGCCTATTGTTGCCAATAAAAAGGGTTGTTATTCTCCTCCATAATTCATTGGCAAATTGTTTTTTGTTTATGATTTGTTTTGGTCTGTGGTCTATGTTTTTGGTTGGGTGGGTTTTTTTCTCTTGCTGTGCATTACATTTTATTTTCATATGATAAATACAATTTTTAAAAAAGACATTATTTAAAAACATGAACTTCTGGCAACTAATTAAAACCAGCTAATGAGATTTCATGCTATGAACAACCTGAAGTAATCTTTTAGCTCTAGACAGTTATCTCTTTTAGGACTTCCCAATATAAATATTTTAACTCTTATAGATCTTCATATCAACAAAGAACAGCACAAGGAGGCAAAGAGGAGTTAGTCCAAGTTCAAACTGAGAGGGGTTCTGGAATAGAGATTACACTTACATGTAAGAAAAAGCAGCTTATTTTCTTTGCTGGGTTTCAACTTTGATAAACATGAAGATTTCTTTATTTGAAAAGGTAATTCTAGAGTTATGTTGATGTATTCATCAGAATTTGTTCAAAAAGGAGTTTAAAACTACTCTGTTGTTCAGTTTTGATTTTGGGAGGGTATTTCAGATGCAGTCTCTATTGAGCCTTGTATTTACACAACAGCTTCAGTTATGATTTGGGTAATGTAATGCATATTACATGTTCATCATTTTGTGGAGGACACCAAGCTGCAGCAAGTTTTGAGTTCTTTGAAGGACAAGGTTAAAAATAAGGTTGGTTTTGTTGTAGGTTGGGGTTTTTTCCTGTTTGCAAAATCATCAATAGATTATTCTGTAAAATTACGTACTTTAGAAAGCGTGAAACTAAAATACAGAATACTCAGATAAGCAGCCACACAGAGAAATACTGACTTACATGGATCAGAGACATATTTTGGTTTGAATCTATTACTTTACAACATTTTTAGGTAGAATGGTGACTGTTACGTTTTGCCTGGTGCTGATAAGATTCCATCCAGGGTGTGGGATAGGGAATAAAAAAGTTAGACATCCTTGCATGATGGCGCTTGGGAGAGTCTTGCCTGATTTTAGAACATCTCAACAGCATTGTTCTACAAAGAAAGCATTTAAAAATAGGTCTTTCTAGACCAGAAAAAGACAACTGAGACAACACTGTAACAACTTTTCATGTATTTTTAGAAAATGTCACTTGTTTCTGTCAGCTGTCAAAGCAAAGGATAAGAGGTCAGCTCTATCAAAAAGGTTGGAGAACACAGGAAGGGACATCTGGACATCTCTGCTGCTCAGCTAAAGAAAACATATATATCATCTATACCTATAACAGTCTAGTCTTAAGGCCTCATCAGGAGAGGAGAGTGGGATTAGTAAATTCTTAGTGTCTGCCCTACCTTTTATTTTTCTTTGTTAAATTCAGCAGCAGAACACCTTAAGTCTACAAAAAGTGGCACAACATGAAGTGATTGTAACATACCTTGCTTGTTGCAAACTGTACAGTATTTTAGAAGTGGGAAGGAGAAAGGGAAGTTCACTGTCAATGCAGCAACTGTCCAAATTCTGACTGGGAATCATGCCAACTTCTATTTCTGCCTTAATTGTATTCCTGGTGAGTTAAAACTGCCTATGTGGTTAAATTAGATACATGTAGCTTTACCCCTGTATTGATCGGGGCACAGGTAGGTTGCAGTTTCAAGGTCATCTTTTTCTTGCAGTTTTAGCTATTTGCAAAGTCACCTTTTGAAAATAACATCTATTGCATTACAGAAGGATAGCAGTGTTTTGTTAAGAGCAGAGTGGGTATATTAAGTTAGAAAGATGAAGCACCTGGTAACAGTTTAGTGATAGAGTTCTCTTAAAAATGGTACAAAGTGGAAAACATGTTTCCAAGCCCTTATATCTGATGGTTTTTTTTACTTTCTCTATAATGCAAGTGTTAGGAAGTTTTTTAGTAGTCTGGTTTTAGAAGTCTTTTCCAGTTTTCTGTTCATCAGTGAAACTCTGTTCAGGTTTTTTTACAGTGATGTTTGTATGTATTCCACTTCATTTTGATTTAATGCTCGATTGATGACTTATACTTTATGGAGGCTAGTTCAGTAGAAGCACTTATCCCAATGATGTTCCAGTTGCAGAAAAAAGGAGTGAAGTTCTCCTTTACTCTCCCCAAGGAAAGCAGGCTCAAGGGCTGCTACAGAACAGGAAGCTTTTGTAAAAATGTGTATAATACTGCTCTGTAGACTTTTTTATAAAGATGAGAATACTGAATTCCAGTTGCAGATAATCTTTGACTCCTAATAAAATATTTTTTAAAATATGCCTGCTTTCCTTAAAGTGATAACTTTAAAGCAAAATAAAATCCTTTCAATTTTTGTTCAAGTGTAGAAACTTTGCACAGTTGTAGTTAACTGCACTGCAGTTAATTAAGCTATTGCTGCTTGTAAAAAAAAAAAAATCTGTTGTGCTCTCCATATTAAATGTTCTTTGTGCCTAGTAATATGGTAGTATTCAGGGTTTATTTGTCGTTGTTTTATTGTTTGCTTGTTGCAGGTTTTTTTAGCATAGCATTCCCAAGATTAAATATTTTCATCAGGTCAGTCTGTTTTTAGAAAACAACACTACTGTGTTAATATTCTCACAACTTGTTCTTTCACTTCTGGATCGGAGTGATGCAGCAAAAATGCCAGTTTCTGAGCAAATGGGGCAGAGTCCCTGCAAAGTGTAAAGAAAATTGAGTCTTCACTGTATTGGTCCTCAGTTATGGTGCCAGCTTCATTGTTCACGTTCTTTTTCAAGTTTGCGGCAAATGCCAGGGCTCTGAGCAGAATATCTCTGTTTATACAGTTGTCAAAAAGTAACAGCAATGATGGCACCTAGGATATTCAAGAAATATTCCATACTTAATCACCAGCAGTAAGTATATGTAACCATAACTTCAGAAAATGAAAAAAAAAAAAAATTGTACCTAAACCAGAAACTTTGTATGTTGTGAAAGCACGTCACAAACTTGCACACTATGCACATATTTCCTCTTTAGAAAAGACTGGCTTGTGCATCAACATGCTAATAAATACTTTGTATTTTCAATCTCCAAAATGTGGCTGGCTGGAAAATTCCCATTTGGAAGAGAGGGTCTGCTTTACCTCTCAGTAATGTTGATTGTTGCTCTCTGCAGTGATCTGAATATTTTTGTTAGCACTTCTGATAAACAAGAAAAGGATGAACTTTTAACAGAACTGAATATTTAGCTACCCTGATCTTGTTTGGATAATGAAGACAGTAATATCTAGACTAGCTCTGCTGCTAGCAAATAACTCACAAATAAAGGCCACTGCACATTTCAAGGAAGTTACTTTGGGGAGAGGGAGGAGGATGCAGCACCATTCCAACCCCTGACTCTTTGTTTTGGTGTGAGGGAATGAAACTGAAAGAAACCTGTATGCCAAGGCCAGCACAGCAAACGTCCCAGAGTTCTCCATGAAGATGCAAGTAGATGCACAGGGAAAGTTCACTTAGAGACAGTAACTTTCTGACTGCATTTGAGTAAAGGGGTGGGGATTTCAGTGGGATTTGGTTGGTTTTGGTACAGTATATGGGCTGGAGAAACAGCTATTGAGAAGGATCATTTACAGTACTGGTTCTATTTGATATCTGCCCCTAGTCTTCAATCTTTATACTGACTGTGTGCCTGGAAGTGAGGTTTTGGATTCCTTATACATATTACAAACTAAAGTTCTTGGTACTAGCCCTTGGGTGGAAAGGCTTCTGCAAGTTATCATTGATTATCAGGAATGGTGCACCAGAAGTCCAACCCACTGTCTCCAAGGCCATAGGGCCCTGTGCCTGTCCCTCTGCAAGTACAGGATCTGTATTACACTACCATCTGGATGAAAGCCAGCCTGTGAAAGAATGTGCACTTCTAACTACTGCTTTTAACTAAGTACTGCCTAGAATTTTACGCTCTGGAATTGCATGTATATTTCTAATACACTAAAATTCTTCTAATGCATGCACATATCTAAACATGTGCTTATATTCTAAAAATAAAATGAAGCAGCAAGAACCTTACTTGAGCTCTGAGAAGATGTCTTGTTATGGCTGGGTTCGCAGATAAGTTCACAAGTACTTTCAAAACCTGAATCTGAAATGAGGAGTAGACAAATTCATTACAAGCTCCAAAACAGTAAGTACAGCAGTAATAGGCATCAGTAATGTCAGTGTTGACTTGTAGAGGAAAAGGTAGAATGGGTCAACTAGCATCTTGAGTTGTGCACTTCTTTGGTACAGGGGAAAACCAAGGTATAGACATGTTAGAAGCAAATTCAGTTCGACTTTAACACCAAAAATAAGGCAAGATCTATAAACAACTCCCAGTAGGCAAACTGCGGAATATTTTTAAATACAAAGAGGGTGGTTAAGTGCTATATTTAAAATTATCAGAAGCATGTACAAATATACCTTTGTACTTTCTTGGACCTTGTGACACTTGGACTTAAGTACAATAAGGAACTTGGCCTTTTCCCAATGCTTAGTTTAAGTAAAATAGGTGTGCTATGTTTAGTGGAAATCTCTGCTTTGGAAAACTGGCTTTGATCTGAGAGAGCAACCACATACACTGATGGTACCACAACATCTTGAATAAATGCTGAGTTTGGTCCCTGACTGAAGCTCCTCTTTCAATATTACAGTAATTCCCAAGTAAGCACAATTTTCCACTGCAGTCACTGGGTTGCAAGAGATGTAACAGGCACAAGGGAACAGAAGTCCATAACTTAGGATCACTGCTCAGGATGTTTCCCTAGAGAGATTCATGCATCAGTGAACCCTTTCACATGCAGACTGTCTTTGCTCTGTGGTGCAGTAGCAATGTTAAGAGCAGGAGAGAATTCTGGAGTTGTTATAGCAAAGGCACAGGACACCCTGCACTGCTTTGGTAGAGCTCAAGCCCAATGGTTCCATTAGCAAGATTCCCTTCCCTCCAACCTTTCTGAATTTATATTGTGAAAGTAATACAGATGATTATTTTAGCGCACAAACTCTGTATCTGCTATCGTTAATGAATGTTTGGGTTTGTTTTTTCTCAGCACAGTCTCAACCCTTTTACGAAAACAGTAAAAAAGGAGGCAAGTAAAGCAGCTTCATAAATGGCTTGCAACAATAACACGACTCAGTACCTGTGTCCTTTCAGTTCCTTCTGAAAGCAAATGAAGAAAGCATGGAATTGAGTTTATCATCTTTTGGTGGTAGTCATTGGTAACAGACATATTTGTCAGCAGTCTGAGTCCAGCAAGCTGCACATCAGAGTTGAGGGGAGCTGACTCAACGATCCTACAAACTTGTGTGATATATACCTGGGGAAAAAGGGAAAGAGATACAGAGATCGTTTTTGATACAAGCATATTTTCTGTTCAAAAATAGTATCCGTGGCCCAGCTACAGTTGCATAAATACCTCCAGAATGTTGCTGGCTGAAAACATAACACAGTGAAGAATCTTGGAACCAAGGTACTTTTTTGTTTTTAATATATTCAAACATTCTATTGGCATGACAGAAGCAGACAGTTATGCTCACTAACCTTTCTGAAGCATAAATTGCTCTGAAAACCTAAATTGCTTTGACTCTCTCTCTGAAGTGGCACAGCTGCTTTAAGGAGTTATTTAAAAAAAAAATCACTTATAGCATCTATTGTCTTAAATGTTGAGAACAAACTAAGGGCAAGTCTTGGAATGAAATCCTTTCTTCCAATCATGTGGCTTATTGGAGCACTCTGTAGGAATAGTGATGACCACTGACATTAACAACTATTTTTACTAAATTTTCTTTTGGATGACAATATACAATAAATCTCAGAGTCCTAACTAAGAAAAAAGTTTCCTTGCCTTTCCAAAAGAGTTATTTTCTACCTATAGAAATATTGGCAAGCACTATTTAATAAAAGTTGTCCATTGCTAAAGACGCTGCAAACTACCACATACAATCACACTGCCTTTTTATCAAGCTACTGAAAAAAACCAGTGAAAGTCTTCAAATCTGCCTCAGCTCTCTGCCTGGACACTTCTTGATCTATTGATTCATCTGATAGTGACAAAAAGTAGGGTTTTTTTCTTGATGCTTAGTCCTTTTATTTCCATGGCATCTACTATATTTACCAGTGGAACTTGTCATTCATGTATACACACTGTTCTTTAAAGATGAAAGTATCACCTGAAAGATGCATCTCACACAAACCCAGGGGCTCAGTTACTCTTTTCTCCTTACCTGAGTCCTGCCAAGTTCAGTCTGCAATTCACTGTACTAAACAAGCACTGCTGCTGTTCTTGGAATGTTTGGAAATTATCTTGCCTCACATAATTCCACTATAAACTTAGCAGCACAATCTCTGTTTAATAACATTTGGTGAAAACTGAACACTAGCTGCCTAGTTTCCTGTCTTTTAAAATAAAAATAAGTGCCAGTGAAGGAATTAATTTCTAAGTTACCTTTTCACTCTTGGGATGCACAGATCATCCAATCTGCTGACTCATATGCCTCTTATCAAAAAATTTTGGCATCCTGGCTTATCTTTAACAAACATGCCGAAGGTCATGTACTGTCTCCTGTGCCTTGTTTACTTTGGTTTTTCCTTTTAAGAAACTTACCTGTATCTTTTCCTGATTTCTAATATTCATACTCAAATTATTAAGTGCATTTAGTGCTTTTTCTTTAACTTTGGGAACGCAATCGGAGAGCATCCCTCCAATAACAGAAAGGCCATCCAAACTTCGGATTATATCCTGAAATATAAAAGACATTCAATAAGATTTTTAAAACTTTAAATTCAATGCTGAAGGCTTTTCTCAAAGTTTCCATTTTAACAAAAATGAAATGTGTGAATGAAGACTTCCAGAACAGATTGGTCTGTTTAAAGAGAGACAGTTGGCAGATACTGTTTTATTGCCTCCCTTGAAGTTAAGAATGGTCCTTCTTAGGGACAAAGTATTATTTGATGTTACTAGACAATGGCACAACGCCTTCACTTTTAAAATCTGGCCTGCCAAGCATGCTTAAAGCATTTTAGATTATAAGGAATCAAAGAAAGTTATTGCATCATGACTCTATAGAACAGCTGAGCCAGGTCACAGTACCTAAAAGTCTTGACTGAAAAGAATTTCAAGATGCAGCTTCATGTTATGGTAGAGGCTCTGAAACTTTTTCCTTTCCATTACACTTGATTTGATTACTATTTTAAAACTTTTAAAAGGCATGAAAATCTGTATCCAGCTCAGTTTTTCTCATCCTATGCTCAATTGATTGGAAGATACCTGGGTAGTTGGAATATTACTAATATGTAAACAGCGTAAGACTTTGTGAGAATAAAAAATTAGTTTATCTCAGGAAATTTCAGATGTGAAACAGAAAGCGCTTAACCTCCAATTCAACTCTTTCACTAACATTACATAACTGTAAGCCAAAAAAAAAGTATATTTACAGCACTTTCAAAATAGAAGAACTCTGTAAGGACTTTAGGTTGTCCAAACATTATGCTTTGATGAATTCCGTGAAGCTGGTAAATTATATTATTTGGGCTAGCAGAAATTAAGGCATAGACATAAAATGGATTTTAGAGCACAAGCTATGGTAGCTTTCAGTCCTGTGTCACTTTAGCAAAACAGCACCTCTCATCTGCCAGACTGGCTGGCATTGGACGTTGTTTTTTTCTACGGAACAATACTTACTTGATTTACAGAGAAGGCAGCACTGTTGCTGAGAGTAATTAAAGCTTGCTCTTGAATTAATGGATCATCTGTGGCCTGAAGCAAATGAATCAGTTTCTGTAGAGCGTCCGCATCCATGCCGTGGGTTGACACTGGAGGACTGCTGTCTGTGTTCAAAAATTAAATACTTTATACTAAGTTTGAGACATTTCACTTAGTTACCACTTAGCATTTTTTACAAAGCTGAAATTTAGCTCAGTTGCAGGACACATTGTTCTAGGTTTGATTGTACCCAAGCAGTATGTCATGGTAAAAAGACTGTGTTTTACAACAGCAAGCTTTCCATCCTTTTTCCCTACGTCTTTAAATTACCTCTTTTCAAAGCAGATAATAAAAGGAACGCACAATTAAAGCCTGAGGTACGTTATTCTCTGATTAATGAATAGCAAACCTCCCATTCAAAATTATTAGGAATATTCACCAAACATGTTTGGTTTTTTGTTTTCCTTGTGGCCCATGAAATGAAATGTGGAAATCTGTCTGGGCACTGTAGGAAAACAAAACTTCTGATTTGCAGACTACTACTTCCAGAAATTATAATAATGACATTTTGCTACTACTCCAAGGTCCTTTAACAAAGTAACAGCCACAATGTTAAGAATGCTGCTGGTCATGACATCACTTCAACAACTGAGGAAGGCTGTTTCTCAGGAAGATGTTATGGAGCACCTGGCTTTCATAAAAGGATGACACCAATGCCATCAAAGGCCATTTTCACTAGATTGGAGTCGGAACTATTTAGCTAAGCTGAAGAGCCTGGAGACCTGATCTATGACTGCTGCACTGGTCATGGCTGGCTTGAGATGGCTCCTGAGAAGCTAACCGGTCCTTCAAATTCCACAGATCTGCTGCCACCATCTCACCAGGCAAACACCACAGTATTCTTTGGAGGTTTAAAAAAAAAAAAAAAAAAAAGTCAAAGTTAATGATGCTAATCCAAGAGCTCACTTCAAAAACAATTTCGTTTTTCACTCTCATCCTCATCTAAACACTATGCTTAGCTTTAAATTATAGGAGGGGACACAAATAACTTTAATAACGTAAATAGCACATCAGTCCATAAAGTAAACACAGTCATCAGACGCACGCTTTAGGGGACTTGAAAAAAAAACAAACCAACCAACCAACCAAAAAAAAAGAAAAAACTAACAAAAAACCAAATCAGGCTTTTCTAAAAATAAACGGCGCTCCAGAGCGCTGCAAAGCCCCGCACGGCTCTCGTAGGGCCGGCGGGCGGCACTGAGGCACCGCCTCCCTCAGGGCGCTTCTTCCGTCACCGCCCCCGGGCCGCGGCCGCGGGTCGGGACCCCCCCGGGGCCCCGCGGAGCCTCCACCGCCCTCACCGCACACCGCGGGGAGGAGTGACCGCCCGTCCTGCCCCGTCCTGCCCTGCCCTGCCCCTCACCTGCCCCTCACCTGCCCGCGGCCCCCGGGAGGCCCCCGCTCGCCGCCGCCCGCCCGCCGTGAGCCGCCACAGGCAGTAGCAGGCGCCGGCCCCGAGCAGAGCGGCCGCCGCCGCCCTCAGTGCCGCGCCCCGCGGCTCCCCCATCGCCCCGGCCGCGGCTGCGCCGCCCGCGGGAGACACCTCCCCATCCGGCGCCGCTCCGCCGCCCCCCTCGTCCCGGGCAGGCGGTGTGCCCCGTATCTGCCCTTCTCCTCTCCCGGGCGGCCTGGGGGATGCTGAGCCGGCAGCTCCGTGTGCGGGGCGCGGGGGAGGCTCGGCCCTCACAGCGATGCGAGGCAGCTGTTGTTTGAGAGGAAGGAATCACCCAGGCCGGCCCGAGGCAAGGGCGGTCCTGCGCCACGGCGGCCCCCGCGGGCGCTCATCGTCCCCAGAGGTGGGGAGGTCACACCCTCCGCCGCCTCTGGACCCCGCCGCCCGCTGGTTCTCCCCATGGAGCCGGTGGGACCACAAACTCCCCCGGTAGCATCCGTGGGAGTGAGGCGCCCGCCCCGCCTTCCCCATGGAAGGTCCCCTTGGCCCCCCAGATGAGCTCTCGTTGTGCCCCTCAGGGCTGGCCAGGGCATCTCACACCCTTTCACACCGTCCTCTGCTGGCCCGGGAGCGTGTTTTTGTTCTGCTTCTTTTGTCGCTAGCCTGCTTCGAACAATTTATGAGAACTTTAAAAATAGCGACAAGATAGAGCAAGGCCGTTTTGCTTTTTAATACGTGTTTCAACGTATTAAAAGAGGATTGAAATTAAGGCAAACGCAGTGAACTGCACTGGCACCTCCCTTGATACGCGTTAAGTTCTTCAGTGTTAATTACAGAAGCACATCTAGGTTTCAAACAGATAATTCCCTTCTCTTTGAGTGCTGTGGGTGATATCCATGCTTTTTAATGGCCTGTCAAAGATGAAGGTGGTGCTGGACCACGCTTCAGGTACTGGTGGATTAGGTATTTTTGTTGGCACAGAAATAAATAAACTTCCATGTAATGTTAGAGACTGTCATAACACGAGGGTCTGTGGGGGAAACAGAGTTGGTGGGTTTGCTCTTGGGATTCTTAATGTGACACTCTGTATTTCGTTGGTTTCCTCTTTGTTTGACACGTTCATCTCTGCCTGTTTCCAAATCTGCAGCAGCTGTTTCTCAGTTCCTTCAAAGAAGAGCACAATGCACAAGATTAAGGGACATCCTAATACTTTTAAGTTACCAAAATAGACCTCATTTGCAAGCAGCTATTACAGCCAAGATTTCCATGGAAACATTAATAAAGAAATCTTGAGCCAATTAGAATAATTAGAGAGCAGTATTACCATGTAGACTGAGTACGTCTCCTGAGAATCTGTCTCTAGATCATTCTTTGTTTTATAAGCACAGAAAAACAAAATATAAACTATGTCTGCCTGAGGTGTAGTTCTTGATTCAGCACTTCAAAAATAGCTCATGTCTACCTTTCCAGCAAAAGTTATACCATTGTAGCTATATACAGCATTATAGCTAAATACAACATAATAGCAGCAGTGGCATTAAGTTAATGAACTAAAAATGAAAGAGTTAAGGATAAGATTAAAGTGAGATTCTTAAAAGAAAGAACCAGTTAAAAATTACCCTGTGTAAGATCTTTTTACCTTTTATTTTCTCTTTTTGTTTCTTAGAGGTTGGTGCTTGCTGATATCCAACCATATTTCTCGTTTAATTTTATTATATTTTAATTTCTTTAGGAAGCTACAGTATGCATGGTGTGAAGATAAATGAGATGATACTGGTCCTTGTATTAAGGAACATCAAAGCCAAGATGAGACCTTTGAACATTTATACACATATTCTCGGAATTAAGGATATAGAGTTCTAAGATGGCCATTTGCTTAAGTCTTTTTATGAGGAGGTTGTGGTTTGGACATAGTCCAAACACAATTGGAGTTCAAATAATCTTGTCCAAATAAATTAGGATTCCCTGCTGCATCTGAGCATTTCCTTCCTGCCTGATTTCTCTCTTTCAGTTCTCATCAGTTACTTTTAAACACTATTCATTAAAAGTCAGCCAAACTATAATCCTGCAAACACTCTGTGTATGACAACTTTCACTGTTGTTAGTAGCTGTGTTCTTAAAATGTTAGAATTAAATATGGCTGCAAAACTTTTTTTCTGCTGTGTGACCCAAATTAATTTTGCCATGAAGTGTGTAGATGGCTAAATTGGCAGGAAGAAGAATGGGTGAGAAACATTGATGATGAACTTCTTCAGATTGTTGAGAGCCTTGTAGAAGTCTGATAGAAATAGCCAGACTTGTACAGGCATAATTGTTTGGCATAATAAATATAATTGTTTACAGTTTTACATATGGTCCAAGCAACACTCGAGTACCTGAATGAAGATTGTAAAACCAGATGTTACAATTCCTTCCTAATTAAGTAATTAAGATTCTAAAATGTTTAACAGAGGAATTGTAATCCAGTATATGGCTCTATAGTTTGGATTTCTTGTGTTGGAGACCTTTCAGAACACCAAAAGGCGAAGAAGTTGCCTGTGTTTGTTTGAAAAATGGGGGGAAATAAAGGCAAAACCCCCTTGAATTAAAAAATGGCATGGATATGGCAGACACATCGTGGTTTACTCCACCAGAGGGAGTAGCTGACCAGCACTGGGATTGGCTTTGGGAAATCTGTCTGTAGGAAAATTTGTGATGAAAGCCATTTAACTGTCCATTATTTGAAAAGATATTACATGTCATGAACTACAATGGTAAGTGATGGATTTATAATATTTTCTTAATGTAGTCAACCATCAAGATATACCTTGGAAATGACATTTTTGTTGAGAACATTGAAGAGATGCTAAAGCGTTAATGTGTTGGTTAGTATAAATATTCAAGGTGCCTGAACTGGAAACAGTGGCCTTTCGCTTTGTCTGTGCTCAAATGAATAATTTTCTTCACCTTTTCATATTGGTCTTAACTTAGGAGCATAGAATCGTAGAATGGTTTGGATTGGAAGAAACCTTCAAAGATGAACCACCTCACTGTGGGCAGGAACACCTTTCACTCCATCAGTTTGCTCGAAGTTCCATCCAGCCTGATTTTGAACATTTCCCATAGTGGGGCATCCACAACTTCTGTCCTCCCGCCATGAAAAGGATTCAAGCACATGCTCCACATTAATTTAGTAATAGCAAGTGGCCATGTCTTGGAAGGGAAGCAGTATTGCATGTCATGTTCTGAAATTTTTACCAGGCACAAGAACTTCCAGTTGATAGTTTCCTTTAAATATTCACTTAAATAACTGCAGTTTATCCATATACTTTTAACAATCGATATACTTTGGATTTTCTTGTTGTATGTGAGCTCAAAGTCCAAAAGTAAATGATCCATGTCCTTTAGCTGAAGACAGCTAAAGGACGAATGAGAAAAATAGTTCATTGGTTATTGTACATTATTAATAAAAGATAATGCAAAGTTGTGTGATTATACTGAAAAGCAGATATTTTTCAAGCAGATATTTTTTAAGCTGTATTTTGTTTTCAATGCTGGTTCAATTTTTGCCCAGCTTCCCATTCAACCTACTCTTTACCACACAGTATTAAAATTGTATTAAATTCATCATTAAGTAAAATGATCTAATCTTCTATATATTTTTTCTTTAATGCACATTAAAAGCAATGAAATTTTTAGTAGGAATTGTTAAAGAAATGCTATGTATTTTATTACTATCCTAAAACCAGTGCTTTGAAGTCTAGCAATCGAAATGTGATGATACATGCACTAGTACCTTTAAAAATTGAATGAAAGGAAAGGCAAGTGATAAAAAGAAGTGCCTCTATTTTGCAGTATATTTACCAGAGATGCTGGTAAATATCTGTTTATTTTAACAGTTTCATAACTAAATGCTACTTTGCTATTAATACAAAGGTCTTAATTTGCAGTTTCTTTTTGCAGATGCTGCTTTGTGATGTATTTGTTGCACATCCAGAAGATCCACTTGCACTTTTAGAAGAAAAAGAATAAAGCCAAAGTGGAACATGGCTCTAGCATAAGACCGTTATGATGTCCAAATATTGAGAGTTATTATGCAGAAGTGGAAAATGTGGGTGCAGATTCACAAGGATAAAAAGACACGTAAGTCTGTGTAGCTGCTCTGCATAACAAAAAAACCCATATTATATAATAGAAAATTATGATGTATACATTAAATATACTTGGTCCAGTAATTTCTGTGGCTCTCTTTTTGCAGGATGCCATTCATTAGCTGAGCTGTGGCAACTTGTTGTCATGAGTGCTGGGAGGGGCAGGTCCCTGTACTCCTTGCTAGGACAGATGGTGCTGGCATTCTTCTCTGAAGACTGAGCAGTGATGCTGATGCAGAACTGGCCTGGGAGGTGTTAGGGAAAAGGAGTGTATGCATGTCAGAAGTACAGGGTAAATGAGTTGGGATGCTTTTTCTGGGAGGTGAAGAGTACAGTGATAGGGATAATACAGGAGGGATCACAGACTTGGACTCCTACCTTCAGTTAGAGGGAATGCATGATGAGAGGTGGAGGTGGAGTAAAGATCAAAACAAAAAAGCCAGAAGGCAGGCTGGTGTCTTAAAATATTTAAAATTTTAGTCTGACTAGATTGAGTTCAGTGAAGATGTCCTATTTCTGGAGAGTATCAAGGCATTCTTAGGGAATAATAAATTCTTTTCATTCTTAAAAGCAGTTGCAGTGATTGTTTTGAATTCCATAATTAGATTAGAATGCAAATAACTGAGTCATTTTTTAATTGTGTATGTTTGTATTGGGTACACTTCTGTAGGCATTTTTGGTGCAAAAAGTCGCCTAAAGGTAGGTATCTGGTGTAATTCAGCATGCCCTAGGATATCTTGGGCAAGACTAGACCAGATAGGCCTCCAGCCTAAAGTTCAAGCAGTGCGTGAATCCCCTGTCAGTATTTTTTGGATATCTTGATAATATGGGGCAGATGAGATGCCATCGATGCATTTTAAAATGCAGAATCAAGCCATCAATTATTATAATACATAATAAGCCTAATAGGTCAGAAGAAATCACATTGCTAATGAAGAGCAAGTAAATTTTTAGGATACAGAGGGTTAGGAACAGGTATCAACCAGAGGGCAACAGCAATAGTGCAGGGTTTGGGGGAGGGGTGCATGGAAGCATTCAGGGCTGGGGAGCACCTTCTGTGGGGTCTCCTTCAGGACACACAAAAGAGAACAGGCTGAGCCAGCTGTGCTGAAAGTACTTTTGCAAGTATTTTGTCTGTGTGGGATAAATCATGCAAGTTAATACATTTGTGGGCTGTAAGCTGGGGCTGTGGAATTTTGGGGCAAGCTGGAAAAAATGGCTTTATTTATGTGTGAAGTACAGAGGGAACAAAAATCATTACATAAAAACAGGAAGCCTACTGAAATGCTTCCATTCCGTATTTGAAAACATTGCAGCTCCCTTGATCCAGAAAGAATTACAAATCTTTGTCACCTGGTTTCTTTTTCTTGAGCTGTCACTGTTTTTTTCAGTATGGGAATTGCAGAAAGAGCTCTTCTGTTTAGAAGACTGACCAGAGGTTTGCTCTAGCTGAGCACCTAACCATCTGCTGCAGAAAGGCAGAGCTCTTTCTTCCTTTTTCTCTTTCTTTCTCTCTTCCTTTTGCTCTTCCTTTCTCTCTTTCTTTCTCTCCCTCTGTGAATCGTAATGTTCTCTTTTTGGTGAATCCAATATGTAGATACAATCTCCTTCCACAGGAGATTGTTACTGGGTGTTGTTTCCTCGAGGCCAAATCTGTTTGCTCTGAGCAAGTGGAAAATAAAACATGCCTGGACTTCTCAAAGTTCTAGAGCCTATGATAGGGATCTTTTATTGTCTCTGGCACTGTGGATTATATTTCGTGATGGGTCATTTCAAAATCACAGGGTATTTAATCAATATAATTATTAGTATGCTATCATTTATTGTAGCTTTCTGTTCTGCTTTTGTGCAGAAAAAAAAATATCTGCCAGTTTGTATTTACAGCTGGACAAGATCTGTCCTCAGGGCCAGCTGGAAACCATTTGCTTTGGAAATTATAGTTTCCTAAAAAAGTCAGTGGTACCACAGTACCCTGATGTTGGGTTATTGACAGAAAATGATTGCTGTGCATTAGAAGCGGCTGCTTTGGTCTTGACACTGAGTTTTAAATTAGGTTGAGTTTTGAAGTTAAGGAAATAATCCACATGTCCAAATTAAACAGACTTTTGGTTTGAGAAGTCTTTGATGGATCCAGCTAAAATTATCATGGATGCAGGTCTTTGAAGGGATGTACAGGAAGAATTTGCTGTTGAAGGGGGCCTTGACATTTCTGTACCTTAAAAAATCTTTGCAAGTCCCCAACTGCATTCTGAACAACTTAAATATCTTTAAAATGAGTATGGCTATAGCAAGCTCCCAAGATTCCAGAATAAGAACATAAAGCTAGAAAACTTGATTTTTAAAGTTGTTTTGAGTAGTTTATATGAAATGAACAGAGACAGCTTGTTGGACAGCAGCATATTTTGGGAGCAGGCAAATTACCTGAATGTATTACATATGTGCTTAAGTGCTGGTGGGAAAAGATACATTATCAACTATTTTCCGACCTGATTTGTCCTTTTTTAGCTAATGAATTTTGGCCTTTCAATAGTTTCTATAGGTTGAAGCAGAAAATCTTTTTAAATCTCGGTAGAATACTCTTGATTTGTACATGTTTCTTTCAGTTGAGCTTGATCTCTGTGATAAAAGTGGGTTCTAGCTGATATGTTTTTCAGTCCAGTTCATTTCAGTAGAACTGTACAGCATATAAATCAGAATAAAACATTTCTCTTAAAGAACACCCCTTTTTTATTCTAACATTTTTTAGTGACTCATTTATCATAAAGCACATTTCAGTATAACCAAGGTAATCTACCCTTCAGTAATCCACGCACTCTACACTTAGACAGGTAGTCACTCTTTCTTCACTTCTTAGCTATGTTGATTACCAGAAGTGAAACAAAATTTGCAATTATTTCCTTACTTTTAGAAAGGCTTTGTTTGTATTGCTTCTGTGTACAACACTCATTTGAGTCTCAAAGCCTCTATTTGTCTCAAAATTTCTCTTGTGACTGTATGGTTTGAGTCACCCCTGTACAGAGTATGCAATCATTTTTCTGGAACATATTTCAAATCATACTTAATATACTGCTACAATGAAAACCATGTGTTATTGTATGCATTATTGTATGGAAAGTTGCATAGCTAATATGGGAATACTCTTCTATAAACCACAGTGCAATTTTTGCTCTGTTTTCACGCTAACATCTTACTATTAACATACATATCTTAAGTGAAAATTCTTTGAAAATGTATATTATTAAGAAAAAAATTCTCTTCAGTGACAGGACATGGAATAAAATTACAAAGATTTGTTGTATTTTTGCTATCAGCCAATTACCATACCAAGTTTAAACTGTTGCTATTGATGTATGGTATTGATGTACAGTTATGAAAGTAATTACATTACAAGCATAAAAATTTTCTTATATAAAAGTTGCTTTTAGCAATGGGATTTTATTAAATGTGTTCCCTTCTGGTTTCTTCTTCATACTTAGAACTGCACATTTTTAAGTGTTGCATATCAGATATTTATATTTCAGCGTATGATGTAGTAAATAATTCAGTATTGCAAATGGTTATGATATGAGACATTTTAGTATGTAAACATGGGGTAAATAGTATGCAGAAATGTCATCCATATGTGTTATGTATGAATAATTGTGGGAGGTTGCTATTCTCTTCACTGGCCTAGCTTTAAAGTATAAGTAGGTATTATTTCCTATTCTTTTTAATTGTAATTCTCTCTTCAAACTGTATTCGTTCCATGTTTCACCATTGTCTCATTTTTTGCCTGTATTTTCCTCTGTTTATCCAGCCATAATGACACGATGTAAGTATGAGATCTGTAAAACTACTTTAACTGCAGCCCTCCTTCCTTCATTCCAGTCTTCAGGCCCAGCTGTATCCGTGTGACTGAACATTGCTAGAATGCCATAGAAGGGTTTGTATTCTGTGTGAAATGCTGTCATGTGACAAATATGATTGGATTGCAAACATGTGCTTTATTATAACAAAATGACAGAATCCAACTCTCCCGAGATAATTATCACAGAGTCACAGAATGGCTGGGGTTGGCAGGGATCTCTGGAGGTGTCTGGTCCAGGAGGCTCAAGCAGGCTCACCTAGAATTGGTTGCTGAGGACCATGGCCAGACAGCTTTCGGATATCTCCCAAGGACAGAGATTCCAACCTGTGCTCAGTCACCCTGATGGTATAAAAGTGTTCCCTGGTGTTTAGATGGCACCTCCTGTGTTTCGGTGTGTGCCCATTGTCTTTTATCTCCTCTGTCACTTGGCCCCACTGGAAGAGCCTGGTTCCATCCGTGCACCCATCCATCATGCATTTTTACACATTGGTACGAGCCCCTTTGAGCCTATAACAATTTCAGTGTGATTTGTTTTGTTTTAGAAAGTGACTGTGTAATTATGGGTGAGAACAATTTGCTTTCTAGATTGGTGACGGAAAAGAACAATTGTGATCATGGTCTTGGCTTTTAAATCACAGGATAAAATAACATTCTCAATGATATCAGCATTGTTGTTTAGTGAGAGAATTTAATCCAATATCATTGTGAACTTTGACAGCTAATAAAGAAAGCAAGCCAAAATAAATCATACCCAACCATGTCACCTCCTTTACGGATTATGTACTTAGAAATGTTAAATCCTTCTATGATTTTGTTTTCCTTATGTATTTGTGTACAAAACTAAAATCATAGTAATGTTTATTGTCATCATGATGGCTGGGCTTCGCGAATGAAGATTTGAGAAGGGCTCTACCCGCGCTTGCTACAAGCGCGCTGATGGCTAAAAAGGCCAATGCGAGAGAGACAAGTCCAGCTGCAGAAGGCACAGCAGAAAGACTCCCCAGGTGATATCGACAAGACGCGATTCTTTCTGCGTTGTCTTTTCTCCTCGAGAGTGATCCTGCGTGTGTTCTCAAAAGCAGCAGCAGCGTTACAGATGGTGTGTCTCCAGGCCTCCCGATTGGAGGCCAGGGTAGACCAATGGTGGTGATCAATATGGCCAAGGCTGAGGGATTGTTTCAGGAATGTTTATTGTGTTTAGAGCTAAAAACACGTAAAGAACAGTTGTGATAGAATTTTATGCACAAACTGCCTTTTCTGTCACATTATTTAACTGATTCATATCTAGTGTTGTTTATATCTATTTGAACATCAGTATGTTGATTGCCATCCATTTCCATTTCTCTTACATATCAAAGACACTAAATTCAATTTGTGTACCTACAGACTATACATTTTCCATTTTTGTTGATAATTAATGTTTTCTGTAGGATCAAAATCAAGGATTATGTCCACTTGCATCTACTCAGTGCTATTTTAAACAAATTGTGATGAGTCATATGTGACAGTCTACAGGGGCTTTTAGAAAACATTGATTTATAAAGCTGTTTCTCCTAACTTTGAAGATACACTATAATTCTTTTTAGGCATGAAACACATATAAATCAGTGCACTATTTAATTGCATATGTTTTTATATTAAAACTCACTGATATTTATCATACAGCCTACTTGTGCCATTCTTTTGAAGCTCTTGTGGAAGCTGGAAAGATTGCTGGAAAACTATTTTTCTATCTTTTTTTAGTGATTGAAAATCATATTGATATTCTCTTCTTTTGACATTTTTTCAGCTAACACACTGAGTTGAACTGTCTGTTCAATTATAGGCTACAGATGTGATAAACCCTTCCATT